AGAGAGAGAGAGCATGTGTGCGTGTGCGTGCGTGTGTGTGTATGTGTGTGTGTGTTGTGAAGGAAGGGGGTGGGGGAGGGAAAAATAGTCGACGTGAATGACCGCTAGTCAGTTCTATAAACCACGAGCCGCCACTGGTATTCAGACCAAATTTTTGAAAATTGTTTTTGTGCAATTCTTGGTACTGTAAGTACATATCAGTTGCATCATGTGCTCTACAAATATAAAAAAAAAATTCAAGTTCTAAATGTCGAATGAGTTGAATAATGCAAGAAAACATACATAATGTCGGTACAATTATCAAAAGAATAAAACATTTTTTTCTCTGTCCTGTAAACTTTGCTTTCTGGGGCTTTGCATATATTCAATACTAGCCTGTACTGGTATACATACATGATATGTAAAAAATATGTTGTCAAAAACAGACTACCGTATATTGTTGGCCTCCACAGAGCATCATTCTGTCTTTTCAATCGTGGGTTTTGGGCCCACGGAATTGAGACGAATTAAGAAGCGGGCTTCTTCCATACTAGCTATCTGGGCCAACCTGGGCAGTATCACATCCCAACACAAAGATGTGCTAAAATACAGCCTGTTGTTTTATTTCCAAGTCTAATAAGTCTATGGTATCGTCATGGAGTTGATGAAGAGGGACTCAATGGAACAAATTAAAGGAGGTTTCTTCGTAAAATAGACCTGATCTACAATTGTAAAACAGGCATTACGGTAGTGATTATAATGGTTCATTTCTCATTTCTTCTGCTTGTTTACTCTATTAAACCTAAAAAAACCCCCCAAAAAACAACAACGGTAAAACACTTCCCTGTTGTTGTTTTTTTTCTTTGGTCACACATTTGTTCCAAGTGCTTTCACTAAGTACTTCTTGGTTTACCCCTGCCTCCTGCCTTCATATGTATCATATTTTATTGCGACATTCAAGGCGCTCACATGGCAGATCAAGCGTCCTAGTCCTACGAAGTGCACATCTTTCTTAAAATTTTAACTGATTTTATCAGTGACTAACATGCTCATACTCATATATCCAGACATGGAAGCATACCGAAACACTGGAAGACAAAGTAATAGCATACTGGGTATGAGATTGATATTCTTACCCTTGGTCACATAAGGCTAACTGCCTATAGCTTCTGAACAAGTTCAGTCGTTTGTACTTGAACAGTCCAACTAATGTACAAATTTCAGGAGCTGGACTGCCTTGAATTTGCTTGTCACTGTGAGTCAGGGCCAAACCCAGTTAGTAAAAGGTATAATCCAAAAAGTAAAAGTGAGCAACTGTCATCATCAAGCATCATCCCCTGTACTGCGTTTGTTTTTCAAGATCGCGAGTTGAATCGGTCACATTGTGCCAAAATACACACACACACACACACACACACATGTATAAATAATTAATAATATATATGGGTACTTTATGACACTTATCAATCACGCACTATTGGTTCGTCAAATTTAAAAAATGTTTCCATAGTTTGTGGTGTCGCCAGTCTTATAAGGGAGACGATATGGAGTGAGGTATGACACCTAAAGTAGAGCCATTTCAGCTGTTCTGGAAGAAGGAAAGGATGATAATCATGTGGGCCACATAAACCCAAACATTTTTATAGACGCACACATAACCAAGTAGCTACTACTAGGATTTAAAAAAGTAGAACACAAAAAATTGTTACATTTGAAAATAAACTTTACTGCAGAAATAGAATCTTGTGATCTACATTGTACAATACTTCATATACATATATATATATATCAATCAATTGCACAGCATGATTTTATAAATATGTCCTTACCCTTAGGGAGAAAAATAAAACAGTGGTCTATAAAATGTCATACTTGTAGACCTGCATGCATTGTATCCGCGTAGAAAATGTAGGCCCTCTAAACTATCAATGAAGATTGATTGTTCTGTGTGCTTTTACTTTTATGGCACTAGAAAGGCTTCACTGATCCTATAATTGCTTTTTTTTGGTAAGTGTTTTTAGTGTTTTATGGCGCTCGCAACTGCATAAGGTCATATGAGCGTGCGGGACACATCTAATATATTCAGTTGGTAGGAAATTTTGAATTTTGCCCGTGTGGTGGCCGAAGCCTACTCTAATCGATTTTTAGACCACCAAGGGATCTTTAACGAGCGCAACTTGCACATGTGCCCTCCCAGATTTTTTGCCCTTGTCCGAGAAGGCTAGGTGTAGATCTTTCCTACCAGAAGATCAGGGGTGTGGCTGAAAGACAGCAGTAGGAAGGAGCCAAGAAGTTGCAGTAGAAAGGCTGCAGAAAGAGTCAGGATCCCAGAGGAGGGGGCAAAGGAGGTGAGGGGGTGGGGGCAGAAAGAGGAGACAAAAGCAGACGACAGAACATTGCTAGAGAGCAGGAAAGGAGGTGAAAGGAGACAATTTTAAAGAAGAAAAATTTTTGGTCACTACCCTGATTCGAACCTGGGACCTTTGAATGAGAGGCCAACACCTTAACCTCTAGGCCACGAGAGCCCCCAATAATTGCTTCAAGAGAGAGTTGAACAGAAATGCAGTAAAACAATTGTTAATAACAAACATGAACAATTCAACTTTAAGCTGCTCTCCAAAATAAATCATAATGCATAAATTAAATTTAATAACAACAATAACAAGTTAAAATTTGATTCCCTCTCATGATGTTTTAAGTTTTCTGGACACGGGGTCTTGGGGTCTCACAACCATGATAGCAACGCTCAAAGCCGCTGCAACTACGCTGATATAAGATGCTCCATCAACACTGATCTCTTGTGCCAAACCCGCTAAAAACGGGGCTATCATCCGCGCGATGGCCATGACACTCTGACTGAGCCCCATAACAGATCCCAGTGCCGTGTTGCCGGAACGCTGTATGGTCAAGGTCGTTCCACTGACCCGAGACACAGAGGTCACCAGGCCCAGGGGGGTCAAGAAGCAGATGAGCAAAGTTATCGACGGTGTCAGAGACAAGCACAGTAGCGCCACTGCCTGGAGGATTGTGACGTGAAGGAAGAGCCGGGCTGTGTTGTTGTACCTAGGTGGGGGAGGAGAATAAATTCAACAAACTGAAATACAAAAGTACTTTACATCTTAATTGACACAGTGTTATTTAGACAATTTAATAAGAAGAAGGCTGTTCCAATCTTACATGTCAGTCAGGTCAACCCTGATTGGAGGGATACACCTTCCCATATGAAAAGCGGAGATAAATGATACAGGGAATTCCCCTACACAGGAATTGAACTCATGTCTTTTGCGTGCAACAATTGGAAATCTTTTGAATTTATACACTGCAGGCATT